CCCAAATTCATTTTCCGATTAAAAAAAAAAAACAAAGGAAATAACTGCTTGGCGACCAAAGCCAATGAGACTCCAAATCCCCAGCAGGTTTGTTTTTCACGGCTGTGTGTTGAGATACAGATTTGTATCAAAACCTGGGCTACGGATGATGAGGGAGGGGGATTCACAGGGCCCAGGAATTAATCCCATGATAAAAGAAGTAACAGTGTGCCAGAGGCAAGCAAAAGCAATGACTGGAATCCAGCACCTCCATGGTGCCGACTGGAGCCCAGGCCTTCCCTCGTGTCAGACACCAACTGCTCTGTTTAACACACCTGCCTGTAGCCCTGTGGCTCAGTGACAGGCAGATGCTGACAAAAATGCTCACCGCAGGCCCAATCCTGCAGAGTACAGAGCACGTCCTTGAAGGTCCCAAGGGCTCTGTTTTTAATAGGAGCCAAGGGCATTCAGCCCCTTGCAGGCCTGGACCCTTTTGTTTCAACAGCCGATCTGCTGTTCTGAACGATGATCTTTCTTCAAGTCTCCAGACCAGCTGAGGAGGGACTTTTTGCGGACACGTTTGACCGTTCAGTCCACTCTGATCCAGCCCCCTGTAATCTGAGCTACTATTTTGCAAGCTTTCATCGTTGAGAGGTAGGATGGGATTGAGTTGTGCTCAAGCCCACCGATGGCGGGGCGGGGAAGGGGGAAACTTCCCTGGGGCCCAGTGATTCAAAAGGGCCTGCAGCTCTGGCCCCCACCACCACTGCTACTGCTGCGGGCCCTTTAAATCACCAAAGCTGCGGGCTGCGGGCCCTTTAAATCCAAAGCTGCGGGCCCTTTAAATCACCGCCGGAGCACCACATAGCAGGCTCTGAGGGCTGGTGGAGGGCTCTGCATGACATGATCCGGATAGCATGGAGCATTGGCTTCTTCGGCCCCGCCCCTTCCGCCCGAAGCCCTGCCCCTCACGGGAGTGCGGAGCCATCCTCCCTACCTTGCCCAGCAAGTCTGTCGGACCCCCAAGTCTTGCTCTAGCTAGCATGCCTGTCCACATGTCACCATTTGCATCAAATGGCTACCCAAGAGTACAGAAGTGGTGCCCCCATTGTGACAAGGCTACAAAGATAATGTCAGCTCTGCTATTGTTCCCATAAGCAAAGGGAGTGATGCTCCATTTGTGCAAACCATACGGGCTTGTTCTCCTGAAGCAAAAGGATGATCTCAATCGATCCCTTTTCTCGCTGTGAAGTTCTGGGTGGTCATTGGTACAGTCCAGCTGCTGCGGAATAGTGCGCTGAGTTTGAAAAACCATAAATAACAAACCACTCTGTGATTCAGACCAAGGCCTGGCCATGTTTATTCTGTGGCTTTTGAGGAGAGTGGCAAAAGCTGTGAGCTAGAAACTAAATAGCCAGAGATGCAATTGAGTGGAAAAGCCTTAGCGGAGGAAACTTCTTGACTTCAGTAGAACTAAATGGAAACCGCTGTATTTTTCCTCTCATCTGTCATAATAATGTTTGGTGCTTTTTAATACTGTGCACCTCTAGATCTCATATCGCTTTGGAAAGATAGGTGTTTTATCTCCATTTTACAGATGGGGTATAGAAAGATTAGGTGTCTTGCCCAAGGTTGTGCAGCAAATCAGTAGCAGAGTGAAGAGTAGCCCCAAGTCTCTTGCTCCCAGCCACTTGACCACACTAGAAAAAATTTAATTACCCAATGTGGAACCTTCCCTAAAGTAATGGATCTGAAATTCACTGGCCAGATTTTCAGCTGGTATAAATCAATGTAGCTTCTCAGAATCCTTAGCAATTCTCTTCAACAAGTTGAGAGAACAGGTGAGATCCCAGAGGGAGGAAAGGAGCACCTGTGTGTCAGTCTAACTTTAATTCTTGGAAGGATACTGGAAGAAATGATCAGACAATAAAATTGTGAGCCGCAAGAGGATAAAAGGGTGGTAAGTCACACCCAGCACAGATTGGTCAAGAACAAATCATGCCAAACCAACCTAATTTCCTCCTTCGGCAGGGTTACTGGTCTAGTGGAATAGCAGGAAGCAATGGATATGATATATCTTGATTTTTTAGGCAGGCTTTTTACACAGTCCCACCTGACATTTTCATAAGCAATGAAGGGACATGTGGTTTAAATTAAATTAGTGTTCCCTCTAATTTTTCCCCTCTAATTTTGTCCATCTGTGTGTGGAATGCATTTTGTTATGTGCACTGAGGCATGTGCAGATGTGCACCACCAGTAGAAACATATGTTGTGGATGCTCTGCTAATCAGCTGGGTGGCATCTGAATCTCTCCTGAGTGGCTGCCCAAGTGCTGTGCTTTCAGGAAACACTGGTGTAAGCTGAAAACCTGTGCTCAGAATCGTTATTGATGGCTTGCTGTGATGTGTGATTCCCACTGACTCACCCACAGGTTGTGATGTAGTGTCAGTACCTTGCCGGTTGCTCTGCTTGGGTTGTGGGTTGTGGATGACCCCTTTTGGCCTTTGCCTATGAACACTGCCCAGCAGGTGGGCTGCCTAAGTCAGGTAGACAAAGACTCAACGGTCAGATGAGTTGGAGCAGCGAGGGAACTAGGGAAGTGAGTGTTCAGGGGAAGGGGTCAGTCTTGGGCAGAAATCATGAAGGGGACAGACCAAGGAGGGTCTGGAATCTAGGGGCCTAGAGACCCCATCTCAAGGGGTCTGAGGCATCCTGGCCCAGACTCCGGTAGACACATCACATCTATGCTGTGCTGTATCCTGGAGAAGCAATAAACCCTCTGTTCTTGCTGCTATGAGGGTGCAGTGTCGGGGGAACCCCGACTGCACCGACACACCCAGTACAGCCGTTCTTATGTACTCCAATTTGGCACTGATTCCCTTATTGGCAATTGTCATTGTGTCCAAGGAACGAATGGACCAAGAACTAGAACAACCCTCTTACAACGGAGGAGATCTTGGCCTTTCACTGCGGAGAAGCTTCTAGCGGGGCTACATGCTCTCTGAAAGATGCTCCAACTCCTTTGTCTTTTCACCTCCTGGCCTCTCTTCTGAGACTGCCAGCAAGAATGCCAACTTGATTGGAAAAACCTTTCTACTGAGAAGATGCAAGGCATGATTCACATCCCCCTCCAGCTATCAAGTCCGTTCTTCAAATCTTCGAATCTTCAAAAGCTTTCACGGACGCAGGGTCATCGTGAACAAGAACGAGTGTATGCATTGCTCCGGGGGGTTTAGCATCTGTGTTAATCTTTTTAGTTTGAAGTTTAATCCAGAAAAGCTGCGACGTGCTCCACTGTCTGTCTTCGCTCTTAACAGCTTTACAAAACTCTGACCACAGACAGGATGAATGAGGCTGGACAACAGCCTGCACTCACCTTCTTCTAAATTGCATATGGTTTCCAAAGGTTGCGTGGAGAGAAGCGAGCTATTGAGCAATGGATTCAGACATTTTTTTCTGTTGGGGGCATAGCTGTGGATGGACAGATTTGGGTCTAAAAAATGTGCGTATTGTTCTAGGGTTGAGTTACTTGAAGCCCATTCCTTGTGACTATTTACTTCAGTTATTTGCTACTGGCATTCATTGGTCACGGAGGTCACATGGTATTGTTTCTTTTTCCCGACTGGATGAATCCCAGATCCTCTAAGTGCTTGCAAAACAAACTCCTCTAGTGCTGCTATTTGCTGTTTACTTATTCCCACAGGTACTGAGGAATAGAGTCCTGAAAATCTGCAGATATCCACTTCCTATCTGTAGGTACCCACATCCACTCATTTTTGAGAGTGCTGGTGCTAATTTTTTATCTAGTGCCCTGCACATTTGGGGATATCTGTTTTATCTCTATGGGTGTCCGCCTCTGCGAAGGTGATTGCAGCTGCCCAGGGTTCATTTTGTGGATGCCAAATTTTGTATCCATGCCAGGCTCTACCTATGAACATTGAACTCAAGTCAAGGGAGTTGAAATGTTACATGTGCAAACCAGTCCCTACGAATGAATGACCTTAGAGCAATGCACAGTTCTCTGATTTGTCCCTGTAATAAACATAACTCTGTAATAACATCAGCCACTGAAGCCAACCTGGGAGATTTTAAGCTGCTGGAAGTCCAGCTCCTGGAAGCTTCCAACATGTCCCCGTGGCCCCTTGGTGGGGAGGGGCAGGGGGACTCTGCATGCCGCCTCCACCCCAATCACTGATCCCATTGGTCAGTAATGGTAGCCAATGGGAACCTCGAGGGCAGTGTCTATGTGCAGGGGCAGCACCCGGAGCCACCCCTGCCCCTAGGGGCCACAGAGATGTGCTAAGCTCTTCTGGGGGCCACGCGGAGCTGCCCAGTCAGACACCTCAGCCCTGAGCCCCTCCTGCACCACAGCTCCCTGCCTCAGCCCTGAGTCCCCTCCCAGAGCCAGTACCTTGTGTCCCTTCCTGCACCCCAGTCCAGAGCCCCCTCCCAAACCCCATGTGCACCCCACCTCCCTTCCCCAGGCTTACCCCAGGGCCCCTCCCAAACCCCATGTGCACCCCACCCCCCTTCCCCAGGCTTAGCCCAGAGCCCCCTCTCATACTCTAACCCCCCTCAGCCTTAACCCAGAGGATAATTAGAGGAAAGTCGAAAGAGATCTTCCCTAACCGCTCTCTCTCTCTCTAACGTAGTCTCCCGTCTGTCCTAATCCTTCCTAAAGCAAAGCAAATGGAGTGTGGGGGCCAGATGGAGTTGCCGTGGCATGCGCATACAGCTGTGCACAGCTGGCATGCAGCTCTTGGGATTCTTTGTTCACTAGCAGGCCAGGGCAGCCAGATTTTTAGATGGCTCACAGAGAAAGAGAGAGAAGAAATCTATTGTCACAAATCCTACCTCACAAGAACCACCATGTTGAGGGCAGAGCTGCTACACTCCCTTTGTCTCTTTCCTTTCCCCTCTAGTCCCCACTCTGATACTGATTCCAAGTTACTCATGTCCTCCCTGGAACAGGGTCGTGGCGGCTGCATGCTGAAAACACCCCGAAAACACCCCACTGATACCTGTTGTACGTTAGTTCTTGATAGGATTGCCAGGTAGCCAGTTTTGAACTGGACAGTCCAGTATTTGAGCTTTCTGTTTGGGAAACAAATTGAGAAAATATAAATGAGAAAATATAAATGGCTGGTATTTTCTAAATAAGATGTAACGTAGATTGTGATGTAATGTCAAGTGTGTCCGGTATTTTTGTTGAAACCATCTGGCAACCCTAGTTCTTGAGCGTAAGGACTGGAATCTGATCTCATTCCTACTGGCTTCAGACTACAGCAGCATTTCGTAAAGTGTGTTCCGTGTGCCGCAAGGCAGTCAGAGGTGTGCCGTGGAAGAACAAAATTAAAAATGGTCGCCCTTAAAGGGACAAGCCTCCTTTTTTTTTTCTCCACAACTTTTCCTTGGGAGCTTTTTTTTTCTCAACAAAAAAATCCTTGGTATTCCCCATTAAAAAAAATTATTGCTGGGGTGTTCCTCGGTCTTAAAAAGTTTAAGAAACACTGGACTAGAATCACTGCCTTGCGTTCAGTGAAGCTCTACAAATCTCGGAGGCAACAGAATCTGCTGAGGTACTAAAGTTACAGGCCTACGTCTCCCCTCCTCCCTGTCCCATGGCGGCTACTCTGAATTTAGGCCCTGATCCTGGTGGTAGAACCTCGTGGGTGCAGGGATGTATAAACTGCCAGGTTGGAGCCTTAGGCTTCTAGAGGGGTTTATTTTTTAAAGGGACATAGGCTGTGATTTTCAAAGGAACCAATGGGAGCTGGATGCCAAAATCTTATTTTTTCAGGAGGAGCCAGGCACCTGACTCAGAACTCTTTGAAAAATCCAGCAATAGTCAAATATTTTTTTAAATCTCCTTGCCTTTTGGATCAGGTATTAGTAGCATCGTAGACTAAAAACTGAAGGTTCCGCTGACTGTTTCTTCTGTAAACCCATGTAATTACAACTTGGCTTTCATTTCTTGTTCTTATATTCCTCAGAGACTTATGCACAGTGTCGCGGTCCAGTAAAGCTACAATGTGGTTGAGTAACAACAGTATTGCCAGCCCCGAGCATTTAGAAACCATGATTCAGTCCTCCCCAAAAACCTAAGAGATTGCCTTAAAAATAATAAATGTGGGGGGAAGGGAGGTTCTGTGCCTTCTATTTTCTCACCCTGCTGGTTGCATTTTCAAACTTTTTTCCAAAAGTTGGAGGGCCAGAAATTTACTTTTTTTTTTTTTCATGAAAACAAAACAAACCCGGTATCATGAGACTTACAAGCAGCAAATTTAATGCATCTGTCTCAAAGAATTTTGAGAAATTACAAATGTGAGGAGCACTGATTAGTCCCATAAGTATTATTTCTATAGTAGAAATGGGAACCCTCACTTGAAGTGTGGAAACAGAACATACATGAGGTCACAAACATCAGAGCAACATCATCATCATCACAACAGCATCAGAGTCAACCTATAAGCCAGGTAGAATGAGGAAAACTGTCTGAATATTCCTTTTTTTTCTAAGCTATGAATCAAATGTTTACTAGTGACAAAAATAGGGAATGTTTGTCAGTTTTTAAATGCTAATAATACCCAGCTCTTACATAGCAAGTTTCACGCATAGATCTCAAAATTCTTTACAAAGCTGGTCGTATCATTATCCCCATTTTGCAGAAGGAGAAACTGAGGCACAGAGTGATTTTAAAGTAAATTGCCCAAGATCACCCAGCAGGCCAGTGGCAGAGCCATGCTTAGAATCTCCTCCTGAGTTCAAATTGACTGGACCACACTGCCTTTGTGTGTTATTTTTCTTTTGTTTTGACTGTATTCCTTTCAGTGTCACAATGTAAAACAATACAGGCCATCTCAGAATACAAGCTAGGGCCTTGTCTACCCGGCAAAGTTGCACCAGTTAAGTTTAAATCGGTTTAGCTAAACTGGTGCAAATCCTAGTGTAGACACTCATTTCAATTGAAGAGCAGCTGATTTCTGGTTAGCCTAAATGTGATCCTAAGCAACGTAAGCAAAACTGAAATAAGAGTGTCCATACAGCACTTTGCAACTATTTGACTATATTGCTTTAAATTAACATCTTAAGTTATAGCAGTGTAAATTTCTCATGTAGGAAAGCCAAGGTCTCATCAACTAAAGCACCAGAAGGGCTAGATAAAACCACCCCATGCGGGGCAGACTCCTTCGTGACTTGCTTTGATGGGGGAGGATTGCCAACTCCACACACAGCAGCAGCGTGGCTTCTCCTTCCCTCCCCCCCCTCCCTCTTCAGTCAAATCAGGGACCAATAAATCTATGAATTAGAAGAAAAATAAGACTCCTCTTCTGGAAACATTTGCTGTCTTAAAAATGCATATAAAATCTCTTCTGTACACTATAAAATGTGAAGTGTTAGGATGTGTCTAGACTACAGGTATTTTTTGAAAAAAGTGGCCTTTTTTCTAAAAATCTTTACCTGCATCTAAACTGCTGCCACATTCTGTCGACAGTAAATAGAAAGAACGCGGCGGTTTTGTTGACCATGGAAAACCTCGTTTTACGAGGAATAATGCCTTTTTTCGAAAGTGTTCTTTTGAAAAAAGGCGCTATGTAATGCAAACTGTGCTTTTTTGAAAGAAAGCATCCAGACTGCCTGGGTGCTCTCTTTCGAAAAAGCGGCTTGCTTTTTCGAAAGTACTGGTTGTGGTCTAGATGCGCTCTTTCGAAAATGTCTTTCGAAAAAGCCTCTTTCAAAAAGGCGTGTAGTCTAGACGTAGCCTCGGTGACAAACCATTTTGCTCCGGCTCCGATTAGGTCAGTTTCAAAGACTAAAATGTTCTCTGCTACTTGTGTGCCTGATCTAATTAATCAATAATGGATCAAGCCAGATCCTGGCCAGATAAGTTGACACGGTTGAGAACAGAGTGGTGATCATCTTGGTCATTGTAGAGCAGCCCTTGGCAACAGCTCTTGCAACGGCTCTTCTTGATCTTCAGAACCAAGAGTCTTTCCTTGCGGTAACTCTGATGTTAATTCAGAAATGTTAAAACCTTTGTTTCAGTGACTGGGCACATCAGTTTAGCAATTGTGGTAGCACACTGTGCACTGGCATCATTTCCTAGAAGTAGCTGGTTTTAAAGGTGACTGCTTCTAAGCTCTGGCCCGAATCCAGATGCGAAAGAGGCATTTCAATAGGTGAGTGGTAATTTACACACTCGGGTAGGATTGCTGGCCTGTTGCAGACTGTATAAACCTGTGTGGGAGAAATCAGGTTTTACTGACAACTTTATATCCCCACTAGCCTTTGGCATGTACATTCCATCAATTAAGATTCCCTTGTTTCCTACCAACATATAACTTACACCTCCACTCTGAATTTGGCGCTGAGTGTGGAAATGGAAGTCTTGCTGCAGAGATGCATTTATGCATAAATGATAATTGGTATCAGATAGTGCTTTCTCATCTGCAAAGTGCTGGAGGTATGGATAATTTAATACTTGTCATAGAATCATAGAATAATAGGACTGGAAGGGACCTCGAGAGGTCATCGAGTCCAGCCCCCCGCCCTCAAGGCAGGATCAAGCTCCGTCCCCTGGTCTTGAAACATGATGGTTCTTGGAAATCCCACCAGGAGGAAAAAAATCTCAATTTATCTCAGATAAAGCACTCATTAGTACACTATGGAGAACAATCTTTGCCTGGACAAAGTGATTTTCCAACAGCAGTCTCCCTCAAATGTAACAGCCTTGTGTTTGCAACGAGTAGTCCTGTGGCACCTTCGAGACTAACAAAACCAGCATGCGCTTTTGTGGGTAAGACCCACTTCACCAGATGAGTTGGAGTGGAAATAACAGAATCCAAGATATATGTAACAGCAAAAGAAGTACCTGTCAATTGTTAGATCCATGTTAACGAAGCTAATTAAGTGGGCTGGATGGGTCCCATTCACAGCTCTCAATGTGAAAATGTGGATGTCAAAAGCAGGTGAAATTGGCTTTGTAATGCAGTTACCAATTAATGTCTTTATTCAAGCCTAGGGTAACAGTGTCAAATCTGTAGATGAATTACAGTTCTGCAGACTCTCTCTGTAACTGGGTGGTGAAATTCCTTTGCAGAATACTTTTAAATCCATGACTGAGTGACCAGGTTGGTTAAAATGTTCCACTACAGGTTTATGTGAGTTACTATTTCGGATGTCTGATTTGTGTCCATTAATCTTTTGGCTCAGAGACTGTCCATGGCAGAGGGGCATTGCTGGCACTTGATGGCATAAATCACATTAGAGGATGGGCAGTTGTATGAGCCTCTGGTGGGGTGGCTTCTGTCGTTAGGTGCTGTGATGGTACTGCTTGCAGAGATGTGTGGGCAGAGCTGGCAACAGGGTTTGTTGCAGAAGTAGGTTCCTGTGTGTGTTTCTCAGGTGTGATGTGTGGCTGGTGGCAAGAAATTGCTTCAGGTTGGGGGGCTGTCTGTAGGCGAGGATTGGCCTGTCTCACAAGGCCAGTGAGAGTGAGGGATCGTTTGCAAGTATGTTTTCAAGTTTAGGTGGGAATTGGAGATTAGCTTAGTTCAGGTTTAGTGGCCGGCACCCTAGAATTTGCTGTACAGACAGAAATATTAAGCAAATCTCTTATAATTATCATTCTCTCTAGTGACAGATGACGGCAGGTCTCCCTGTTGTCTTTTATTTTTAAAACTCTGCTTTATCACCGACTCGGCTGCCTTTAAACTAGGTGATGCTTCACTGGCTGCTGAGAGCCATCATTTCCATGGCAACTAAAATTTACTGGTGTTTGTACAGTGATACTCTTAATGGGTCAGCAGCCATTACAGGTGGGGTGCGATGACATGAGCAAACTAAAGGACGATTGGGAACCTGGAAGAATTCCAAGCAAGCAAGCGAAAAGTGTCTGTACATGGGGGCGAGTCCAAGCCCAGCATATCCAGACATAGCCTCAGGTCTATTGACGTCCTGTTGAACAGCGAGCGGCGGGTTTGTGATAAACCAGGGCTATGTCTAGACTGTAGGCTTCTTTCAGAAGAGATCTTCTGCAAAAACTTCTTCCGAAAGAGCGTCCACCCTGCCCAAGCACATCGAAAAAGTGATCT